TATCGTCAATGTAGACCACGACTCCATTCCCTAGTAGCTCTCTAAACACCTCATTTAGGAAGTGTTGGAAGACCGCGGGGGCGTTTCGCAGCCCATCACGAACAACCAGAGATTCAAACATACCATACTGTGTCCTGAACGCCGTCAGGTGTTCATGTCCCTCTGTCACCCTCAACAATTGGTATGCTCCAATTAGATCTAGTTTGCTGAAATACCTCGCTTTTCCAAGTTCTTCGGTAATTTGACCTATTAGAGGGAGAGGGTAGGCATCTGGTATGGTCGCTTCGTTCAGTTTTCGATAGTCGATGACCATTCGCCACTGTCCTTCGGCTTTCTTCGGTATCATAAACATTGGTGAGCCGTATGGCGAGTTACTTGCCCGAATTCGGCCAGCGGCGATTTCGCGATCTAGTATGTCTCTCAGCGCGCGTCTCTGATCTTCTCCTTGAGCATAGAGGGAGGCGACCTTAAGGTTCGCCCCCTCCTTAAGCTCAAACTTCAAATCGTAGGACCTTGAAGGGGGAAGGGTCTCTCCTCCCTTCTTCGGATTAAAAACGTCAATGTACTGGTGGTATTGTTCAGGAACTACCTGGAACAACTCGTCTTGTTCCTCCGGGCTCAGCTCTTCAAGCTCATCTTCGCCGCGGAGGTCTATCGCGTCCGTCAGAGTCGGCAGCCCTATGGCCGCTAACTTCGCCGCACTTGGTGGGGTTGGGATGGGAAATTTCACCGAGTTGTCTCTTCCATCAAGGACAACCCCTTCCTTCCTCATCCAATCCCACCCTATCACAACATCTGCGTCGCAGAGCGTTGTTACATCGAGACAAACAGATCGCACTTCGGCGTCCTTTGTCAAACTAAATCCGACTTCGACAAACTCGGTGATGGGTCCAGCGACACTCACCGAGCCGTCGAACATGTGAACGGGTACGCTCACCTGATATCGCCTCTTTTCTACACCTATCTTCGCTGCTGCCTTAGGGCTTATATATGAACAAGTAGCTCCAGTGTCCCAGAGCGTAGTTAGCTTTATTCCATTAATGAAAATGTCCGATTTAGGTTGATCTCTGGAAACGGAAGGGATGAGGAGATGATTATCGACATTGCATGAACAAGGGGTACTGAGTGGTGTATTTTTGTATTCACAATCCTCTGGCTCCATCAGCTGTGCTTCTTTTATGGGTTTGGGAATGGTGGCCGAGAGAATATGGCGGACCCGCCGAGCCTCGCCTACTGCAACAGGTCCTCTTCTTTTCCCTGGTCCTCTTCCAAATCTGCTTCTCCTCCAACCGCATTCAAGTTCCTCCTCTGTCCGAGAGGTACTGCGTTCCCTCCCGATCCTCCACCACGTTCTCCGAACTTCTCCCCCCATGGAGGCAACAGTCCAACCTTAACCTTAGCCTCCCTTACAGGGCATTCCTTCAGCCAATGTCCTGCTTCACCACACTCGGTACACTTCCCCTCCTTCCTCCTTGTCTCCCTCAGATCGGAGCTCGGCCTAGGCCATCTTCGGCGAACTTCGTCGATGTTTGGCGGTGTACTCTTTACCACCGTCGACATCATAGCCGCCTGGACACCACCCTGCGCCGAAGGTTGCCCCTTTTCCCATTTCTTCTCTTCTTTCTTCTCCGTCCTCTGACTTTCCACCACTGTCGTTGTCCTTATCCCTCCTTCCCTTTTCCTCTCTGCCTCCTTCTCCACTTGTCTCCTCCACAGGCGGTTGTCCAAGGGAATCACAAACTCCAATAGCTCTTTCACAGTCCCAAACGATCTACCGTGTCTTGCAATTTCATCTAGAAGGTGCGATTTTAGTCCTTTCTTGGCTCGGTCAACTAGGTTTCCATCATCAGACCACTTAAGAATCGCAACATGTCGCTGGAAGGCGGAGAAGTAGTCCGAAGCAGACCCGGTTTGCTTGAGGTCGTTAAGTTGTCGGGCCGCAGTTCCTTCTTCGTCTGGATCACCAAAGTTAGTCTTGAGGTACTTAACGAACTGATCGTGTGTCGTGAGGTACTCAGGAAGAGGTCTTTTGGATAGATCGGGCTGCACTGCAAGAAGAGGTGTTTCGCGTAGATGAGAGATCATGAAAAAGACTTTCTTAGTGTCGTCGGGGAAAAGATGAGAGTTCAATTCGAAATGTACGTCGCACTCAGACAGAAAGGCGGTTAACTTGTTCCGATCTCCTCTCCAGAGGTCTGGGTTAGGTAGCTTTATCCCCTTCCGTTGTTCGCCCACTACGCTTGGGGTCGCCGAAGTTTGCCGTCCCATGGCGTACCTCACTCCTTCTGATATCCCTTCTGCAATCCCGCCCACTGTATCCCTTTCTCTTCTCTGTTCCCATTCCTCCCTACGCCTTCTCTCCTCCATCATGTCTTTGTTCATATTCGCCACCATCTGCATCAAGGCCAACACCACCCCTTGTGTTCCTTCTTCTCCCAAGTTCGCCGTACTTCCAGTGTTTTCTCTTGGGCGTGGGGTTTGGTCTGATCCAAGTGGGGATCCCGCAGGTGGGAGAGCATTAGACGGAGGAGAAGGAGGGTTAGAAGGCACCGGTGGAACGAACTCATCTCCTTGAATTGATCCCCCCACACTATCCTCCACTCCAAGGTCCTGCCCCATTGCTCTGCTAAGCTCCTCCAATGCTCTCCTCTCGTTCTCCTCCATCCTGTCTCCATCCCTACTCATCCCTCGTGTAATTCTTCTTTCTGGTTCCATATTATCTTTGTACTTCTCCGAGGTTCGCACGGGTCGTCGGTAAGAGCGATCCTTGATACTGTCACGGCCGTCGAACAACTATTTCTTAATAGACCGACGGTCGACGAACCTCGGCTAACTTCACGCTCTGAGTCGATGTCTCACCCAACCAGGAGGGCGCAGACGTCGAAAGGGGTGTAACTACGGCGTACTTCGGCGTAGTTACTCTAACTAGGGTTTTGTTCTACTGATGGCGATGTATCTTGATTTATAGCTATCTCTATCTGTCTTTCGCTACTGACAACAATCAAGGATCGCTGAAGAACTTCAGCGATCTTCTCAGCTAATATTATCTACTCCTCCTAGACGTTCATCCAACCCTCTCGCGCTTTGACGTACTTCAACGCACTTCGTCCAACTTCCCCGAGCCCTCGGCCATCCTCTTCCTCCTTCGACTAACTCCGCCTAACATCGCCGCACTTCTGCTCCCATTGTCCCTACTTAGCCTAACTCCGCCTAACATCGCCGCACTTCTGCTCCCATTGTCCCTACTTAGCCTAACCCCGCCTAACATCGCCGCACTTCTGCTCCCATTGTCCCTACTTAGCCTAACCCCGTCTAACTTCGTCGTACTTCTGCTCCCATTGTCCCTACTTAGCCTAACTCCGTCTAACTTCGCCGTACTTGGTGTCAGAAGTCCTGAGTTACGTGTAGAGTAAAGAGGTTAAGGCGTGATGGGGTTTTGATGGCCAAAGGAGGGTCATTGTTGGTGGAGTAATCGAGGTGTCACGACGTAGTTCGTGACAATCATATTTCCTAACCTCATGTTTCTCAACCAGAGTATCCTCACTTTGGGCAAAAGGCTGCTTGCGCATCTCTGTGCATGAATAGGCACTTCGGTCTTGCTTGACTGATGTGACGTCCACTTCAAACTCAGCCAAGGTGTTAATATCATCTGGGTCCTGATCCATTGAGATTTGAAGTTCACTTGTGCACAAACAAAAATTCCTCAATGTGGAGATGAAGTTTGTCTTTGGAAGCTTCCATTCCACCCATGGTCTTGTAGTGGGTGTATTGCCTCGAAACCTCATAGCAGAATATGTAAGTGGACGTCCTCCTTTGTCTAGTAAAGCAGTGGTTTCCACAGGAAGCTCACTGGTTGATGACTTATATCTGGAACAATGAATTGTGTCACAGACTGGCTTCATAGTTTTAGGTCTCTCCCTGGTAAGTCGCACGGTCCACTTGCCTTTTTTCCACTGGGAGAAGACACAATACTCCTCGGTGTGAGTGTAAGGAGGTTCATTGCAATTGGACTCAACGGACAAAACATATCCAATGATACCTTCTTCTGGCTTATGAGTTGATAGTCGGTGCACAGCTTTTTCCCATCTCTGGTCAGACTGAACATCGAACATGAATACTCCAAACTCTGTGGGGTGTTCCACCACATATTCCCTTTGTTGTGACCTCTTCTCATCAGGAGGGGAAGTCCTTACGGTCCAAAGGGAGCGTGATTGGTTGAGTACACTGCTACCCATCTGATTTCGGGTGTGGAAATTTGCCTGTTGACGATGAAATAAATAAAACTCCCAGGAGAATCATGTTTGTGGGATGGTTTATAAGCTGTGTGGAGCCTCCTGCAGGTAGCGGGCTCACTGTGGACACGAAGGCGCGCGATTTGATCTCCGCACAAAGGGTGACGGTCGGGGGAGATGGAGAGGGAGAGGGAGAGGGAGAGGGAGGATGGAAGAAGGAGGAACCTTGTAGGGAGAATATCATGGCATGAACAAAGGTGAAGATCCATCAATAGAGGTCAAATGCAGTGTATGAGAATTTCTGGGGTTCAGGATTTCCCCCCTTCAATTTCGACGAAGGGCGGGGGGACAGAGGAAAGATGGAGACATGTCAGGAATGAAAGAAGTGTCACAGGATTCGAAGTTCTCCGAGCAAATATCGAGGAATCGTCTGTCCTCGAGAGTAAGGATCAGGAAGTGTTGGGACGTACTTTTCAGGATAGTACAGACAAAGAAAGAGGTCGTATGAGAAAAGCGAGCAGCTTTGTAGTTGTAAAAAACTCATATTCTTCAATTGTTCGACCAACACCCCTTTCCACCACCGAGTCGATGGGCCAAGAAGGTTACTCTTGAATCAGTAACGTCAGCGTCTGGTAGCAGTATGCTTAGTAAGAATAAGGTATATACAGGTAGTCATATTCTCATCATTAGGTTTCATCACATCTCTTCTCTCATCTGGGATTCCTAATCTTCTATTACAAAGTGGTAGATCCTGACCACCGTCGAAAATCAAAGACGAGCCTTGACCGGCCTTGATAAATTTGGAGGGATAAGCAATATTCCTACCTCATAGGTATATTCTTCATCCCAAACCTGGTCAAATTTATTCGCCAATGAAAATGCTTCACTAATTGTAGGGGTCGTCACCTTCAAAACATGATTAAGATCTATTGTACCTATTGGTTCATTTGCTAAAGGAGAAAGTTCATACTGTTTACCATCTTCTCCTTGGCCGAATGCCATCCAGCCATGTCGTCCCTTATCATTGTAGAAATGGAGGCTGCTTGACAAATCAATATTGAGGAGAGTCCCACCGATGGAAGCAAGGAGTATGACTGCAGTGTCAGGAACTTGCGTGATTCTTGCTAATTGAATTTGGTTGAAAAAGTTGTCAACTGAAAGAAGACCAGATTTACCTTGTCTGTGAGCTTGTTCTAATCGAGTCAACCAGCTTTTCACCTCTAGTGATTCTTCTTTTGTCACTTCTGGCGTCTTTTCTTCTGACTTCATGTTATTCATACTCGCAGCGATCGTATCGGTGTTTGAGAGCATGGAATATCGGGAGTCGGTGCCGACCTTCATGTTGTACATACTCGCAGCGGTCGAATCGGCATCTGAGGGCATGGAATATTTTGAGTCGGCGTTGACCTTTGTTATCGAGTCGTTGTCATCAGAAGAGTCTGACCCACTGGAACTCATGGTGTGATATTGAATTAGACTTGAGACGTTGTTTCTATCAAGTCAGTTTCAGTCTCTTTATATACTTTTCCACTCTGAGGGAAGTCCACTCACTGGAAGATAAGCTCATCGACCAAACTCCCCGGACGGGGAATTGACGACATCGTTTATTCGGTGGAGTTGTGGAGCACGTCTTCTCGAGAATGGTCTGATGGGTCCTCTAATTCATCATGAGCAATAAGTTTCATGAGTTAGAACAATGGAGGTCGAGTAACCCCTTGATAACATATCTTTGGTTTGAGGGATTGCATCACGTCATGAATGGTTCGAATCGAGTTTGCAGTTCAAGATTGGTACGACGTATGGTCTCGCATAGCTATGGTGCTATGTTTTGAAGGGTATTTGACTTGGAAGACGACATATCGGACACCAAGGTTGATGACTCTCGATGTCTGGAATACAGGAAATGAGTTTCTGGATGATAACGTATCTTTGTTCTAAGGAGTTCCGTGAGATTGCTCGTCACTTCATGAATGGCCCAAGTGGAGTCTCGAATCTACAATTAGTACGACGTGTGACTTTATGTAGCTATGGAGCTATGATTCGTAGGGGTTTTCGAACGTACCAGACGACGTATCGGGATTTTGGGTCGATGACTCTCGAAGTCTGGATTTAGGAAAAGAGTTTCGTATCGCGAACTGGGTGGAGCGATTGGAGCTTTGTAGAATTTACGGATCTCTCGTGGACTTGGGCTGGAAATGAAAGTAGAAGGAGTACGTATTTTCCTTACTTGCGTTGGAGAAAGTCTAAAATTAGGAAAATCGAGTGTATTGAATTTGCACTTTTCATAAGCCAGACGGTGATTCCAACGCAAGGTAAGACGTCAGCTGGTGGATTCTTTTAGAAGTGTTGGTGGCGAGTTTGACATTCAGTGGAGTGGTACTTGGCTGATCGTTTTAAATCACGTAGAGCCGATAGATAAGGGGGGTGGTGATAGGTGAAAGTCAATCCGTACGCTTTAAACGAAGGAACAGATATTCGAAAGTGAGGCAAAGCGGTGTGCCGGTCATGCGCTTCCGCCATCAAACCGGGACCTTTGGTCAGATAATCAGATATGAGTGATGCCGTTATTTCCGTTGTCATTCCTACCATAAGTCTAGCGTCACTGGATTATTAGTAAGCCTTGGGGGATATATAGCTCACATGGGCACATTTCGTAGTTGAAAGGTGAGAAGGAGGACGAGTTTTCCGACCTTACAGGAAAAGAATAGATTACGTAAAATGGCCCAAAGTGGAAATTGCTGCGGGGCCACCGATTAGGCCAAGCGCCAAGGTCTTGGCAAAACATCTTGGCTTCTTCTCACTTTCTCCCCCTCCCCCTTTCTCTTTTCCTTCTCACAACCTCACTACAACCTCCACACACTCATACTTTCACCGTTTGACACCTAAACGTGTCAAACATACATCAGTCAAACTCCTTCCTCATCTGATCCTAACATCTTTACTTGTATATCTGGTCGGGATTCGAAAATACAACCTGAAACTTCTTCGGCAACGAAGAAACACAGCAATGACTTATCCTCCTCTTCCACCTTCTGTATACCTCGAATTACCTTCCAACAACCTGTCGCATTCTCTCTCTTCAACGGGGTCTTCTTCTTTCTCGGAACCTATCACACCGCCTTTACCTCGGCAGAACCGGATGAACACTGAGGGATCGTCAGGAGATAACGAGGAGGAAGGTGGCGGTGAGGCTATACCGTGTAAATGGGCGAAATGTCAATATGTTAGCGCATCACCGGATCAATTATATGAACATTTATGCAATGCTCATGTGGGAAGAAAGAGTACGAATAATCTTTGTTTGACTTGTGGGTGGGAAGGATGTGGGGTCAAGTGCGTGAAGAGAGATCATATCACTAGTCATTTGAGAGGTGAGCTGAATTACTTCTTTTACCCTTATATTCGTAGCTTACTTCTCATCTACCCTCCCTCCTCTTGGAATTTCCCTTCACAGTAGGTCTGTATGGATCATATCACCAGCTCAGTGCTGAGGAGGTTGAGTGATGAAATCAAGCCGTTCAGAGACTGCGCAGCGCTAAAATCAGTCCACACACCTTTGAAACCTCACCCATGCGGTGTATGCAAAAAGACATTTAAACGACCTCAAGATTTGAAAAAACATGAACGTATACATACCGCAGAACATCACGCCCTCCACAAACTATCCAAAGCCCCCACTACCATCGATGCAGCATACAATACTTCCATCATCGAACCCACCGCCGGTCGACGAATCAGCGATGGAAGTTCAGCCCATTCCACTTCCTTATCTCCTCCTTCCTCTAACGCTTCAAAACCTTCCTCACCATACGAAAATTTACTCACCAACATGTCTCGAGTTCAAGCCAAGAGTTCATCCCCCACTCCTACTCCGAGTGCTTTGGCTGCATTACATAAACGTCAACATGAAGAACTGGCTGCCTATCAACAAAGAGAAATGTTGGTACTTCAACAATTGGCATATGAACAACAACAAAGTCAAGCTTATGCGGCTCAATTCGCTCAAGAAACGATTCTGGACAATAAACAGGAAATAGGAACTGGGATGAAACGAGGACAAGGACATGAAGGAGAATCTATTGATAGTTTCATCGCGGAAATGAAGAAACGTAAAGTGGCTCCCGCTTATGACGACGATATGATTCATCGACTTAATTCTTGGGCACCACCTATTCTTCCTGAAATGACATCTTACCCTTCACAATCTTCATTACATGTATCGCAACACGAAGGAATCTATCCAACTGTTCCTCAACTCCCTTCAGTACCATTACCAATGTCGATGCCCAATTCTCAATCCACCTCTGCACCACAACCTCCTATGCAGATACCTGAAATCAGAACAGAATCAGATTTAGCTCTGTTCAATCAATTCATGATTTCTTTAGGAAAAGATGCCGCCAACGGTAATACCACTTCAGGTCCTCAACAGACACATGACTTTGGTCGAGGTTCTTCCGATTCACCTCTGTCAGATCAAAGTCCTATTGAAGATCTCTTTGGTGCTGATGAACTTGCTTCATTGGGATTGGTAGGAATGCCGGGTATACCTCCTTTACCTCCTTCACGACAATCGACCCACAATACATACAACAACAACAACAATCACAACAACTCATACCCGTCTATCGATCCATCCAACTCCCGTTTCCGAATGTCAAACAATACAGAAACCTCGTTGGATATCTCTAAACGACCTATCGCGGCACTACCAAGAACCAACATGTCTACCTCCCTCTATCCGCAGTATCCTAATTTATTAGGAGATTTTAATAACAATGATTATCATCATCTCAATTATTCTTTCGATTCTCTCGCTCCTTCCAAATCCAGCCCTTCACCCATCGCTCTCGCTCCAAGGGAATTCTATAAAAAGACATATAGACATGTTGCCCCACTTGGAGCGGCAATGTCTACCAGACCAAGAGAGAGTGCAGAACGTACAGGTTTATCGGATGTTCCGGATGATGATGATGATGGAGAAGAAGAAACGTCACTTTCTGAAATTCGTATTTATTCATCTCCCGAACCTGAAGATGAGGCCACTCCGAAGATCTCAGTTAGAAGTCTTTTGATTGACGAAGTGGATGTTCAGATGGATCCAAGTTTGAAACTCCCTGCAATGCACAAAGTGGAGTCAAGCAGACCGGCTTTACCTTCTTTAGCGGATATCGATAGAGATAGTAGAAGAGGATCTTTATCTTCAACGGGAAGTTTACCATTACCGGTGAAGAGACATACGGATGAAGAGATTGTGAGAGGTGTCAAGAGGTTAGAGTTGGACGAAGGACAAGGCGTGAGACGTTTGGACTTTGATGGGCGTGTAGAGTTAGACGGGGAACAGAATGGACAGCACGTCATGGCGTTAGGAGTAGAGGAAGATCATGATGAGGTGAATATGGATATGAAGGATGTGAGGAGGGAAAGGGAAGGTAGAAGAAGACATGTACAGTTGATAAGAGCTTGGATCGTAGCTGTGAATCTTGGGTGGAGAAGGAGACAGATTGATGAGAGTATGAGGGAGTAGGTTCAGTGTGGGTATGGGTAGATGTTGGTATGTCGTGATTATATGAGAAATGAGATGACATGTATGATGTGAAAGTAGTAAGACACAGCCAGTGACGGTTCACGTCACGTCGCGTATTCCTTCTCTATCCATCTACTAAACTTACATGTTCTACTTGCTGTCGTCAGCCATCAAGTATTACCTGGTTATCGAAGGTATCATTGTCACTGTATCTATCATGCCCACTGCTATCGTTACGATATGAAAAATATGCCTTCGTAAGTGATGTCGTTTCCTTCTTTTCTGCGCTTCTCTCCCTTTTCTTCTTTGGATTTCGGGCCTTGTTGTGGTCACCTCAGTGCTGTCCCAGCAAATCATCCCTTATCGTCTAACACCCATCTCCATCAAGTATACCCCTTCTCCTCAGCTGACCAAAAAACATCTGCTCTCCTCCAATAATCTTCACTGGTCTTAACTCACCCTCTCTTACCAACGTTATATCCCTCATGACATCGGCCCAAATCACAGTACTCAATAGCTAACTCATAGTCTCCGAGATCATCTTCTTTCATCTTTCTCTTCACTCCCCAATACCCACTCGATCCACCTCACCGTACTCTCTTCTTCTCCTAAAAAAACAGGAAGTTTATTCCCTCATTCACCAGGACCGAAATGGGAACAAGAAGAATATTTAGTGGTTGTTTCTACCGAAACTACTATCCATCCTTCTACGGAAACCACTACCGCGATACCTTCTTCAACCAAGACAGAATCTGATGATACTCAAACTTCTTCATCCAAGACGACAACTTTATCCTCCACCTCATCCTCACCGCGTACGCTCGTAGCTGCTCTATCGGCATATCGTTATACCCTAGGTTCCACATCGATACTTTACATAAGTAAAGTCGATTCTTCAGGTTATGCTCCTTCTCCTTTAGCATACACTAGGACTTTGGTTATCAGCTTCCTCAGTTATTTCGTCCTTCAGGCCAATTCTTCTCCTCCATCTCAGATCAACGCCGATGCAGCTTCATACAATTTAAACAAATCTCAAATCGACTTTGTACTGAAACCCGATAAACCTTCGCCCGAACTTGAAAATCAAATCACTCCGTTGGAAACACGGTTATCAAATTCAGAATCGACATCTGTGTCTGACTCTATGAAGTTGGCTGGGGATTTAATCTCGACTTTTGAATCGAAATCCAAACAACCAAAACTTATCATCACTCTTTTCGCCAGAAGTCAAACACGTTATCTGTTCCCTAATTCCGGAGAGGGAGAAGGAAATAAGGTAGTTTTGGGTGGTTTGAAGTTATGTCAATGGTGGAAGAGTGTTTTCGAGGAAGTATCCATGAAATATCTTTTGTCTCAAACTTCATCAACCTCATCTGAATCTTTTCAAAGATTTACTGAATCTCTTGGGGCGCATATCCAACCTCATTCTATGTCACTTTTAGATACGACCGAATATACAGATACGCCCAAATTTACGGATACGACCAAATCCACGAATACGACCATTTCAGCGACGACATCAGTAAAGGATAAAGAAGAGCCTGTTAAAATATCACCTACTAAAGTAAGAAATGATGTTCGATTATCTTATTTACTTCCTAGTTACTCTGAAGCCGAAGCGAAAGGTATGTTAGGTCTTCCTCGTCGACCAATACCAGAATGGTTAAAATGGGAATATTCACCTCCCTTCATTCAACCTCTTTTCCCAGCGTCGACCCACATTCATACATCTACGACTATTCCCACTTCAACATCTAAGATTTCATCCTCGATACCTTCTCTTTCCAGAACAACTCAACTTCCCTCATCTCAATCCCAATCCCATTCTGCAAACCCCAGTTCATCCGGTGATCCACATACAAAACCTCCGAAGTCTTTCCATAACATGTATGATCAAACAAAGAGTTTGGGAAATATCATCCCTTCTCTTCCTGATGATCCCAAAACTAGATTTTTAGAAGAATTAGTCCTTTCGTTTTCCAAACCGACATTACAACCCCCACCACCACCACAATCACAATCACAAAACCTTGCTTCGACCTCAACCCATATCACAGAAAATAACCTCACCTCGGCCCCAGCACCAAAATCCGAGATTTCTCCAGAATGGAAAATAACATCACAAAATGATCATGTCGTTTCACCAAGAAAGAAAACAATGAAACATGATGAGAAAAAGAGAACGAAAAGAGAAAAAGATAGAGATGAAGATAATATAGAAAGACAAAGATCTTATAACGCTTTGAGTGAAATTTCAATGAAAGAATTTTGGGAAAGAATGGGGTTCAGACAAGAATGTTCAAGTGGGGATGTCACAGGTTTTTTCAGTTTAACAATATATGGTTCCCCTTCAACTTTTTCAACCACTTATCTGTCACACATAATAGGTCAGACTACATTACAAACAACAACTAACCCGATAGAGACTTACGAGAGTCAACCCCGCACGATCGAAGAGCAAATCCCAGCGAAGTCAGAAGAGACTGTCCGAGCAACTTCAGAGAAAGAGATGACAGGGACGATATCGACCGAACATGAAAACATGCTGGATATTAGGAAAGAGAGGAAAGGAGAAGATCCTCATTTACCCCCATTGGTCCTTTCTAGATTACTGGAAACATTACTCAATCTTGATTTTTCGACGACATCAGCAGGCTTGGAAAGTTCTGCAACTTGGTTGAACAGTGTGGAAAATATAGTAAAGTCGGAGATAGGTGTTGATGGATGGGAAAGTTGTAAAGGGTTTATACCCGCTAAGATCGGTATGGGGGTGATTGAGAAGAAAAGAGTGGAAAGGGAGGTGACAATTTTACAACCTCGGAAGAAGAAGAAGGTTTGAGGAGATTCATAAGTTTACCATTGAATCATCTTTCGAGGACCACTAGCGACGTGATACAACTCGGTGGATGAACATCGTTACTCGACAGTCATCAACACATTCAAACGACAACGTGTCGTACATTTCCGGCTCATCCATCCATCTGAACATCTTAACATCGCGTTTCCACATTGAGAATACATCAACCTCAAAGTATCATCTTCAAACATTTACATATGAAATGGATCCGTGTCATCAGAGAAAAGAGTACATCTATCAAAATTGCCATGCTAGTGATGATCGTTTTGTGCATCGTAGTCATAAACTCTACCTGTATCTTCACATTCACACTAATTCTCCATGATGCACTTGAAAACAACAAATGATAAAGATGACAATTGTAAAAATTGTTTCAGATAATTATGATTCGAATAACTAACCAAGTTAGAGCAAGATGAAGGTTGAGACGGAACGATAAAGACTAACAAGGGTGAAGGATGGAGACAGGATGACAGACGGTGTTGAAATTCACACAACTCCATTCACCAAACACACCAGATCAAGCTTTTGGTAACCTATACCCTCTTCTCCACCATCTGGCAATTTGTTTTCTTTTCCAAAATACCAATCCGGCAATAATCAACAAAACGCCCAAGACGACACCCACGACTATCCCTGCTATTTTACCTTTGGAAGTTCCATGACATGGCAAGGCGTTGTCACATGGTTGACCAGATGGTGTAGAGTAAGTCCTGACGGCCAACGAGACGTAGAATGGATCAGCGGAATTATTTGCGATCTAATGTCAGATCGTCTCTCATAACGTGTCTGAGTCCCATGTGGACAAGTGTAATGCCTTCCCATCTCAGTACGAGTAATTAATGAGAATTCCTGGGATGTATGGTTCCTACAAACTGGGTGGAACCAGTGAGGTCAATGAGGCAGGTGGCGACTTTGTGGTGAATATAAAGAGTGGCGACTGGGAAGAGTAGGTGAACGGGGGGAGGAAGGGAGGTAAGACGTTAGAGTATGGGTGACTCACCATCATAGCAGCCACACTTGGCCAATTGGCATTATAATCCAAAGCTATTTCCGTTTGAACCCAATCATCCCTCCAATCCCAAAACTTGTCATTCCGTAAAGGGCCTCCCACCATTCCACCATAGATAACATGAGCTTCAACAGGAGGATCATTTCGTACATCTTCGATATTGTCACCTCCTGATGCGGGGGCGGAGGAAGGGTTTTGAGGAGAGTTAGGGTGCATACCGACTATATAAACGGCTAACAGTCAGTCACAAAAGGGTCTCATTACACCCCTAATGCAGATCTCAACCACCCGGAAGTTCACCTCAAGGAGGAGGGAGTATGAGAATGAGGTTGTCGATGATGATAGTCGAGGTTGTGTGGAAGGGTCAAGAAACCGGTATAGGTGTTGAGAACATTGAGAGACCGCTCACATGACATCGCATTATTTCCCAATATGTAATCGATCTGACTCTGAGCGAACGCATTGTACGCTTGAGTCTTATCCGACGAAGACGCCAATGGTGCATAACGGAACATAAGTGTAGCCGTCGCCAAAGCTGGTTGAAGTGAATTATCGGCGGAATCTTCCCCAAAGTAAAGTAAACCGCCTAAAAGTCAGCACAAGTCTTTGTCATCACATCTGCACTTGGTGTCTCCCTATCATTTTAGTCGAGGAAAGAAAATATAACGTGTTTACCGTGCTGAACACACCTTTCGTCACATGGGCATCCTTGAAATCCCCATTGAGAATCTTATCAAAATACCCCTCAGCCTCCGTCTGCCATCCCGTAACATTCACGTCTAATCCTGCTCCTTGTGCCAAGCCCGGTCGAGCCACCGATGTCTCTGCAAATAGCACATAAGCCGCTACGGTTCTCTTATCCCAACTCCATATCTTCTGGTTATTGGTAAGTGACGAATTCGTGTACCAAAAATAAGCATCTGAATAATACTTTGACTGGTTGGTCGCTATGGCCAAGCTCAGTGCTGACAAACAAAGATCATCCCAATATCCAGTAGAACCATACGCGTCGGTGATTTCGGGGACGGAAGCGTCGTACGATACGAAAGGTCGTGTGGAGTTGGCCACGTTGTAAAGGGTTTCAGCGTGTTTAAGTAGGAGGGCGGAGTATGTAGAGTTTGTCAGAGAAGGAGAGGTTGGAGGAGACGAAGAAGTGGTGGTATTCCATACTTGACCGGAATATAAAAGAGCTCCTAAGGAGAAAGCGGAGGAGGTTGAGGCCCATGCGTCTGTACCGGGGGAAGAGGAGTTGATTGGGTAAGCTGGTCGTGGAGTGGGAATGTTTTGATCACCGCCCCTGGTTCATCAGCCATGGTTCATAGTAGGAGCAAAGGTAATGAGAGCAAGTAGGATACCAAGTTCAAGACTCACCAATAGTCGTTGTCGATTACACTTGAACCGACTTGCAGAAACAATACGTCGTCTTCGGGATGCGCCTGAGAGTGAGCGTCAATCTTTGACCGGGTAAGAAGACTAGAGTAAAGAACAGACGAGGGTTTGATAACTCACTTTCATTAACCAGTCATATCCCCATCGAATGGTGGAATCAAGATATTCAGTTTGTTTGGCGGCGTCGTATCCTTGACCATAACTCAACGCTCCCCAGCTCAAGGCGAACATTGTGAATCCCTACCAGTCAGGCTCACTCTTATATTCTCCCATGACAGACTGAAGCTCAAATAGCAGGATACCGTGGCAGACAGTCTTGATAGGAGATGTACGTAAGTATGGTCTCACCAGGGGAAAAGTAGCTTTTATATACTATTCGTCAGCTTGTGAATCCACATCACACGATGAAACTGACGTCACCAGCATCATACCAACCACCAGTCAGATCCACACCCCAGTCGTCCCCATCATGTAAAGCACTATCGTTCCTCCATCCGACTCTGTTAGGATAACTCCCATTGTCTAATCGTCCAGATCGTTGGGCATCGTAAAACCACAACGTGTTTCCCAACACGTTTGACCATTGAGCATTAGGAGAGCCAGTAGAGGGGACAAGAGCTTGTGTGGGATTCGGAGGGTTGTATGTTACAGAAGGGGTGAGCTGTCCCAGAGATATGGGCAGCAAGGGAAGAAGGTGGAAGAGGGAGAATATGGGAATCATGGTTTGAAGTGTTATCTTCTCATCTGCTTTTGAGGAAGAGAGAGAGGTGGCGAGGGTCGGAGTTTTGTTCACAGCTCGCTTGATCTCCTTTGTGATTTCGAAACGTTCTGTCGAGGTGTATACGAGGGGGTATAACGGGAGGGAGAAGAGTGTATGAGAAAGCAAGTGAAGAGAGGTATGGTATTGAGAAAGAGATGAAATGATGGCACAGGAAAAATGACCACAAAAATGACGACGTCACTCGGTCTCAGGTACAGTCAGGCACACAAAACCACGTGGCGAGAAAATGACAAATCACGTGATGAAATATTTCTCACTCGTCCACTCGGCTGAATTTGCTTGGGTGTCCGACTAAAGTTACGACTTACCTACTTACTAGTACTGGTATGAGATAGATAGCCGGCATAGCAGCTCAAACCCTTCATGACATTAGCTATGGGTAAAAGTGGAGCCGGAGGCGACGACCTAGACGATCAATTCGAACTTGATCCAGAACTCGTAGCGTCTTCAGAGGCGGAAAGCAACGTTGATCCTGACGAATACCTCGAACCTCCCTCCCCACGTCCTGTTCCAAAGTCGACCCTTGGGAAACGGAAAGAGTCTGAAGGTCGAGAGCTTGATCAAGACAAGGATGAGGTAGATAAGCAAAAAGAGAAAAGGAAGAGGAAGAGGGAAAAGGATAAGATCCGGAGAGCAAAGGTTTGTTTCTTTCCCTCTCTACCTTTCTCAGTCCTCCTCATCTCGCTCAAACAGAGCTCTGCGCAGAAGAACAAGTTCATGCTAATGACTATAGCGCATACACACCGGTGTAACGACTATAACATCAGATGTATCTCCCGCAGATTACACTCCCGAGATCTTATCTACCCTATTCACCTCTTCTTTAAAGGCTTCCTTGCCCCAAGCGAGTGAATTGGAGTTGACTGACCTATATCTCCCTTTAAACATCTTCCTTCTTCCCTTATCCACTCGTTTAGAAAGCTTCAGGTCTTCAAAGTCAATCATAGAACAACCCAGCCATATCAAAGACAGCAAAGACCTATCAAATCCTCCCACCAAAAAGCAAGATGATTCAAAGGGCCGAATCAATAATGATCAATCACAAACTTCTTCTGAATCATTCATTTCACTCCAAAAACAACTCTCTCTTCTCTCACTCTCACCCACAACATTTGGCTCACCAAACATCATCATACTATGTCTTTCCGGTCTCCGATGTGTAGATGTGGTTCGCGCCGTAAAACCTTATCGTGGAAATGGAGAAGTAGCAAAGTTATTCGCGAAACATATGAAGTTCTCAGCTCAAGAGGAGTATTTGAAAAAGACGAAAGTTTCGGTAGCTGTGGGAACTCCGGCTAGAGTGGGAAAGTTGATAGAATCTGGAGCTTTGAGATTGAGTGAGGGAAGTGTTATTTTGCTTGATTTGGGACATGAGGATAGTAGTGAGTTGGGTTTGTCATTCTTCAATCTTTCATCATATATCATTCATCTTTTGGTGTTCGTTATATGTTAATGTGTGACGTCATGGAATGAGCGCAGATGGGAGCGCGGAGATGAGAACAGAGGTGATCGCTCGGGCGGATACAAGAAGATAGCAATGGCCGAAGACGGACAAGCAAGGAAGCAGGAGTAATCAGAGGTAGGCAATGGCATCAGGAAGATTAGTCATAGTAAGAGGGGACCCGGGAGATGACTTGAGTTGGAACATATCGCTGACGAACAGAAAAAAGAACTTTGATCACATTACCAGAAGTCCGAGATGAACTTTGGAAGACCTTTTTCAATGGGAAGTGTCGACAGATGATTTTAGCCAATGCTAAAATTGGCGCTTTTTGATCTTTTTAGCTCTTCCACACTCGCGGCAACATCTTCTTTACTCAAAATCACGGTATACATTTTCTTGTCGCCACTCATCCAACCTCGATCCAATTTCAATCTGATCAGCCTTCCCTACGTTTTGTTTGGTTTCATATCGACACGACTCTATCATCATATCACCCCACTCACAAGATACAAGAACGACATCTGTCTATCAATCTTTCTCTCCCATTCTGAGGCAATGTCAGACCGTCCCATTTATCAGCCTTTCATTTACCAGCATCATATCTACCAAGTCCAAACGTTATTTTTTCCCACGCCATGGTGCGCTCTTGATACACGTAAGAAACCTGACGTTCTAGACATGCATCTCATTTCCAAGTATGTGGTATAATGACTGAAAATCGACGATTACATTCACTGGTCAGGTAGCTTGCATCTTACGTGATACTGATATAATGTTTGAAACTATTGTGTTCGTTGATCATGTACATGATAATAGCTACATGATTATGATATTTCCTCATCCAGATATCTTATCATCAACATTGCAACACCTTCCAACCAAAAAAGACACAAAAGAGATCACGATCCAATAGGGAGTAGAACGTAAAGATGAATCTTAACCTACTCTCCCCATCCCCAAACTTTTCTACCTATTTCATGTCCACAACCAACCACATGTTTCCCTTCCATCCCACCTCTCCCATCTAATCTTTCACCTTCCGCGCCTCTCCTCAGCGGTCCTTCGCAATCCGGTACAGTACACAAAACGCATTTCGGTTTAGTTGATATACCTTGTAAAGTATCACTTTGATATAATTGAGCTTGAGAAAGATAAAGACGATAAGGTTCAAGATATTCTTTTTCTATTGGATTTATTTCGATCAGACCTTTTAATGGAATTTCCAACTCTATCTTCTCTTTATTTTCAATCTTAATCTCATTGATATCATTTTCAACTCTAGACACTCTATCGTCATTTCTTTCATCGTGTGCGAAGATTTTGTTCTTCTGATCGGCATCGAATTCTCCTGGAAATGGAAATCTAAACAATCTCACGTTCATCCTTGGTTTCAACCCTTTCCCCTTGTCTTTGTTTTTTTGTTTACCATTCCCATTCCCACTTCCCTTCGTCGAAGAGATAATCTTTTCATACTCTCTCACTTGCTTCATAGCTCTTTCATACCTTTCACCTTGATGTATAGCCCAGTTCAATAATCGCTCTAAACCTAATCTCCATTCTTCTTGAAATGAACTTTCCCAGTGTTTAACTTTGACCGTTGCTACACCTTGTGCTTCTCCACCAATGGAAATGGATTTCATACTTGGTAAAGGAGGTAAAACGATGTATATCCTATCACTTGGAGGTACTTGTATTTGTGATTGTGATTGAGATATGGTGTTGGTTCTGAGCGGACGATCTCGTAATGAAAAAGTTGATTGAGCGGCTGATCGATGTCCCCTTCTTGATCTTGCCACTGCTAATAAACGTTCACGTTCTAATCTTGCATTCTCCTCTTCTTCATTTCTCCTAATTGTGGCATCGTCGCTTGAACCATCTTCCTCTTCATTTTCTGTCTCATTATCAACCTCATCTTGGTCGTGATCGTCAGGTTGAGCTGAAACTTGACCTGAGTGCCTTGCTGTAGCAGACGGAGAAGAGGATGACGAAACATTCAAGTTGGTTGACCGTCTGGAAGATTCAGCTCTAATCCTAGCTTCGACCGCTGCGATTCTAGATCGTTCTGCAAAATCCCAAGCAGCAATTTCTTGATCTTTCTCTTTCCCTCTTTGTACACACGCGCTGATGATACATCCCGCCAATTCCGCACACATCTCCGCACCTTTCTCACGAGCTTTGAAGCCGAACAGATTTACTCTGTCCAAGACCAAATGTTCTAAGAAAGGATGACTTTTGAGAAGTTTGATCAAAGTCGTACCTAGACGCATGTTGGTGGTAGAGATATCTAGATATCGTAAGGAAGGGAAAACGGGTTGAGTTTGAGAAATGAGTACAGGTGCTAGGTCTCTTGAGGGGATTCGAAGACGAAGATGAGTGAGATTAGATGCGATGGGTGAAGAACCGAGAAGGGAGAGACATTTAAAGTTGAAAAATACGATAGGCTGGGCGAAAGAATCAGGTTTTACCCATGCGAGTCTTTCGGAGAGATAAGGAATGGGACCGTGACCGGTATAAGTTTCAGAATTCGAGTTGGTTTTTGTTGGGAGAAAGGTGTGTTGAGAAGAGGTGGTAATACTCTTCGCTCCCAGACCGGTAGAAGAATTTGACGGATTCGTGCTCCGATCATCAGGCTTGAGGATGGGTGATGGGTCAAGTGTCAGGTCAGTGAGAGAAGTGACGAGTGAAGATGAATCGGTATGAGATGAGTTCTGGCGCGGAGGGGGATCTTCGACGAGAGATAAGTGGGTGAAACTGGGGCAAGCGGGCCAACGAGATAAAACCTCTATGGCGGTGTCGAAGTAGATTCCTGGACTTAGCACTGTACAATAGGAAATCAAGCTCAAAAAAAGCATCCCGACAAGGGATGTATTCAGTCGCAACCATTTTCAATATGACTCGGGTGATTAGGATCGTTACAGATGTTGAGAGGACGAAGAGAACAGGAGGGGGAAACAACGTGAAGAAGAGGGAATCTCATAGTGAGTAAAATAAAAGGCACAATGAAGCACTTGAATAGCGCGATAGGGAATATGGAAGATGTACAGTGTCATGAGCAGAGGTATGAATGAGAAACAAAATACTCAGACGTACCAGACAAAAACTGTAAATAAGTAGCTCTCTCCACATATAACCTAAACCGAAGTTCCATCCTCCTCAAATTTCTAGGTTCTTGAAACATTTCAGCCAGATGATCAGGTCCGAAATCAGTTCCGATATTAAGCATTATCATGTCGATGTTGGGACAGCATCGTAGAGCACTTTCAGTCAGTGTTCAATGACCCCGATTTTACGCAACTTATATTTGCTTACTTGTTTAAAAGGTCAGGATCACATTGCCATGATTCCTATTTATCAGCTGAACCCATTTATCGATAGAATCCCATAATCACACAGTCTCCAGGTAGGCCAACATCAATCTAGGTAGATCATCGAATAGAAAGGAAACGATGATGATGTGCCCTATGAGGAGGAAGTGAAGGATAATCTTCAGGTAGTCCATAAAGGTATAAGATGGAAGATAATCGATTGGTCTATAATCATAGAATAGACAGTGAGGTAGTAGAAAGTCCTAAAAGAACTCACCAACCCAAATGTCTTGACCCATTCACCTTCATTTTTCATCTCTCTCCACAATTTCCTAATCTCTTCTCTTACTTCAATCCTTGATCTTTTTTCAGCGAAAATGGAACCTTTGTTCTCCCTAGTCCCTCCAAATATAATCTCCTGCCTGTCATCTTCCCTCTCGTTGAGATTCCTCAACTCAGAAGCGTCATGGTCTTGTGTTCTTGCCGCACTATCTGTATTCTGATCATTTCTGGCCCTTTCAAGAGTGATCTGACGTATCGAATGGATCGATTCAAGGACCACACATCCATATTTCTCCTTACTCGTTACAGTGTACCCTGGTAGAGCTAGTTCTAACGACTTGACAGTGCGGTTTTTGTATCGATCCGGAATATGAGTAAGAATTGTGGAGATGATTTCGTGTGGGAGAGAGAAGATTGGGGGTTTGTAATAAGATGTCGAGCCGGGTGGATTGGTCGGGGCGGTTGAAGTGATTGAGTGGGTCATGGTGAAGGATGAATGAACGGATTCAGATGGGCTATCAAGGTGTAGTATGTATGTAGCTCAGATAGGTAGATATGTGCACATTGATTGACAAAGTGAATGATGGGGAGAGAGAGGAAAGTGGGAGGGAGAGATGGAGATGGAGAACGGAGGAAAGAAAGTCAAAGACATTTAGCTTTGTGCGCAACTTTAACTTCTGTCACATGTCACAATGACCAGACTACTACATACTTGAAGTACATATAGTCCACTCGTACCCAGACTTACGTCGAGGGATACAAATGGGATAAATCAACTTGGGCAAAAGACAACAAGCAAAAGTCGTGACATTCATAAAATCGTACTATTCTGTTGGAAAGTAAATCAAGCTACACACATGATTGAATCAGTCACCATATATCTTTCTCCAAACTAAATCTAAAGGTGACTTCCCACCATCTCATCTATCCCAAAGAGACTCCCATACCCAAGACATCTATCTCCATGACACCACCAGAACTCATCTTACAAAACCCCAATCAATCCTGACTTCCCTACATCATCTCTTCCGCACCCACCACGATGATCGGTACCTCTTGAGTTCAACTTCGGACTCTCCAAAACACACTCTTCTTCACTACTCTCCGCTGAAGATAAACTAGGCGTGTGAGTTTCCACATCACCATAGTATCCTTCCAGATTTCTCAACCCATCCACTTTACTATTCTCTCCTTGTTCCTCTCCATGATCATTATCATCATTTTCAATAACATGATCATCCCTCTCACCCCACTTTTGAACGTCCATACTATGTAACATCTCCGATAAAGCTGTAGACATACTTCTATAACCATCGAATTCCGGTTGAGGAAGTTTGGCACCACACATACTGGCAAACATCATTCTCCTTCTTGCCATACATTCTTCCCAGTCACTATCTCCATCATCACATTCGTCCGGTGATTCAGAAGAAGTATATTGTTGGGGGTTCATCTGACGTGCTATGGGTGTATCTGGGGTTGACTCGATAGCGTCATCCTCGAATGTGATTGGTAATTGAGCCATGATCATCCCCGGATGAGGGGTTTGAGGTGTGGAACGACTGTGAGAGAAAGATGGGAAGACTGGGGAAGAAGGTGAAGTGGGAGAAGAAGGGATGTCGAGGCGTATACAACGAGCGTCGCGTTCGGGAAAAACGCAATTACGTTCAGCGTCAGAAGGTGGATCGAGAGGAGTGCGATCGTATTCCGCCTTGGACCATGTAGGGTGGTATGCCTGAGATTATTAGTTCTGGTCACCCGCGTAAAATACGTGACTTCAACGACGGCAAGTATGAGCGAGAGAGAGCGAGTGCGGTGGCGAGAGAGGGAAAGGTGACGAAGTTGCGTCCGATCATGAGCTCCAGTGGTGAAAGGGGGAACGGGGATGAGACGCGATGAAGGTCAATGGTGAGGGGCGAAGTGAAGCAAGGCGCGGTGGGACATGAAACCGTATGGACAAGAACGGACAGGTTAGGAAGAAATGGGAGATAAACTCACAGTCACTGGCTCCCCTTCTGGCTGTTCCTGCCATCTCACAGATTTGACAGAAGAAAATGATGTTGAGCGAGAAGAACAAGCCGAGCTCATTGATTCCTGTGATGGAGCACGAGGAGGGGACAAGCATGATCTGAGAGTTGGTCGTTGAGGTAATGAAGGCATGACTGGGATAGAGAGGTTCATTTTGAAATGAGAAAGATGATAAAAAGTCGACGCGATATTGACGACCTTTTATACTGTGGGAGAATGAATTTGGAAGATTGACTCGATCGGTCACGATTGCAAGTGGTGTGACAGCGTCAGGCGTGGCGTGGCTTTACTCTTTTAGGATGGCGATGAAAGACTTGTTTGACTCTGAGAGAAAATGGAAATAGTGGCGAAATGACGACGTTTGCTATCGACAGTCGAATAGATATGCGGTAAGAGTGAAGGGTGTGAGCTCGTGGGTGAGTGGGGCGTTTGATGATGTGTCGTCAATGTGGAGCGTGATGTTGTCGTCGTGGGGGAATGATGGGGTGGGGTGAGGGGGAGGTTCAATTATCCAGCAACATGATCGTCTCTTTAAAACACCTTGCTCTCTCTGTCGGCTAGCGGCTGGTCCTAGATGTTACTATTTACTCGTTGTAGAATGGTCGAGTTGTAGACGCGGAGTTGAGATGAACTGAATACGTCAGTGGCCACGACTAGTGTTGTTTTTGTTCCTTTTGTAACATGGACAAGCTAACCATGGGACGAGGGATATGGATTTTTTACTCACGTTTCAGATTGACACCATGGTAAGTGTCGATACTACTCTTCTGTCTCCTATTCGTTGAATCCCCTCAGGTGAAAAGATGAAGGGTGGAGGGTGGTAAAAGAAGGGGGGAAGGAAAGAGAGAGAGAGAGAGAAACAGGAAAAGGAAGACGGCGAAAAGTGATGAGGGAAAAGGAGGGGGTAGGAAAGATGAGACGGGATTGATGTTGAAAAAAAGAGTCGGATTTCGGGTGATCTCGCTCCGCTTCCTTTTTTGACCTACCGAAGCTATGTACCGATAACCAAAACTTACCCGTGTTGATGAGATCGCCGTCCTATCCGGGTGTGAGTGGCGAGTAAGAGTTGATGGTGATTGGTCCGGGGGGGATGATGGATGATACGCTCAAAGGTGATGGCAGCCGGAACAAAGGGCGATAAGGATGGAGACTTTATGTAGCATGTAGCATGGAACAACCTCTTTGTTTGAACGCGTCTCCATCCATCCCTCCCTCATCCCTCAGTCCAAACAGCCTAACGTTTCACCGTGATCCGTGACCTTGTTGTGACATGTAACCTGCAAGTGGAGGGGAAACAAGCTTCAGCTCAGCGCCGGCTACTCCCGCCGTTAGCCCCTGTCAGAGGCAGTGTGGCACTGTGGCACTGTGGCACTGTGGCACTGTGGCGATTTCCTCCTTTGATGCTGAATTTAGTCATTGAGAAGCCACCAATCAAAACGTCGAAATGCATTCAGTCACTTCCATCGTAACTCTCACGTCCCTTCCATGCATCTATCAGCTCTCCATCCTATCAATCACCAGGCTCATTGTTTTTCAAGCCGATTCAGTCTACTCCGGTGGATGATCAACCTCGACCTCTTCACTGCCGTTCATGCCATCGACGTTGCTCTCGAGATTCCCCAACAAGGCCAAGAAGTCAGCTGCATCCTCCTATGATAGTTCGGAGACCTCTTCAATCATCAAGTCAATAGCGATTACTCCTCCATAATTTTCTTCAGAGTAAGGCAAGGCCGTCTCACTTTCCGCACGAGACCAATCATTCTGAGTCTGTTGAGGACTCCGAGAGACACTCAATATACGACGAATGGCATCGCCTGGCAGAAAACCTCGAAAGTATGGCCCGGTTGGTGCGATTTCTTCTATAGCCTGATTGACACTCTCCATACTTATTGTCATGTTGGGCACCGTGGTCCGGAATACTTGTTCGGTTTCATCCGAATTAACTTCCGAAGCTGGTAAGACGTTGAAAGTCGTCTTACCTTTCCCAATATTGACTTTTACCACCCATGGCTCAAAGAAACCAGGAGGGTTAAATGTATTGGTGATGGATGACCAGTCCGGGTGTCTACTTGCGCTCTGTACCAGCTCACCTATCAAAACAAGCGCTTTTGCGGCGTCGCTTCCAGGTGTCAACTTGGAATTTGACATGTTTTACTTAGTTGGTATGTATGTTTGATGGTTTTATGGAATGAGACGATAGATGCCGACGATCGTGTTGTTGTCTGAGGGGGTGGGTTCGGAATACATATATGTCGTAGATTTGCCATCCGGGGTCAGTGTCAGTCAACTTCAACCTACACTGCCTTATCACTATGAGAAGCTTTTATTGAGAAGGAGAAAGGGAATGCTATGTCTCGGGGAAGTTTTGTCATCTTCTTTCCCACACATCTCAGTGGCATGAGAACATCTGAAAGAGAGGATGGAGAAGGGGCGCACGGCTCCCCAGGCAACTCGCCGTTCTTTGATGGCGTCACGAGTTCGTATGTACCAAACGGAGGAATGGAAGGGATCCCCAACTCAACACCACACTCTTTGATGGTCCGAATGGGTTGAAAGATTGTCTCATGACAGGGGAGAAGGTAATCAAGAAACCTTAACTCAATAAGCTAGGATGTCGGATAGTGAGGATACCCATGACAACGTACTTAAACTCTATGAATGACGCCATGTGTGTTTTCAGTGTGTGCTATGTGTGGTTACATCGGACTCATCTTTCTTTGCGGCAGAGGGATCATCTTCAGGACCATCGGTAGGGATATGACTATATTTAGACGTTCTCTGCGTACGGTGATAGTATCCCCTACACAGCAGAAGAGTATACAGATGTTAGGTGTAGAAGAAAGTACAGCCATGAGGTAGGGTTTGGTCTCAACCCTATCTCTTACCATCCCCGGGTTCCCTTTGATGATACAGAGATCAGTAGGCATAGGACTACTCTCAGTCCTACCAACTGGGTCGCAAACGACTTGAGGGTCTGATCTTGAACCAGACCTCAAACGAGACCCAAAGTCGGATCAAATGTTTTGACATTGCTGCTCACCATGATTCCATGCATCGCGTATAAGGTCTTCTCTTACCTCCGTTCCATCATCAGTCAAAAGTACACTACCTGCTGAGTCATCCTTGTACCAGGATACACCTCAGGCGGGCGCTGCCCTTGTTGTTTAAGCTTCCGGGCGTGTTGCCTCCAGGTGAGAATTTCAGACTTCCTGGTTCCTTGATGTTTGAGAAAGGTACTGCTCAACATCTTTCCCAGACATGGAGATCGGATCAGTCTTAACTCCCTTTGGTGGATAGACTTGTATGGTCTGACTATAGTCAAGTCCGGTTGGGGGTCTGTGAAGGGTAGTAGACCTGTTTTTTTTGGCCCCTGCCCTTCTTACCGTCCACTTCTTGTCTTTATCGTCTTTGTCACTGTTGTCTTTGTCACTGTTGTCTTTGTCACTGTTCAGGAAGGTAGCAATCACGACGTCATACAAATCCCATTCTCGGAGGTAGTGGAAGAATTCTCCCATGCGCTCCTCCGCCTCTGAGTCGTGAGTTTTGGCAGCAAGGGCTTGGGTGCTCCCTATGTGGATCAGCTTCATGACTTTGCATAGGGGGAGTACTGGTTTGATAGTAGGGATATCAATCTTAGTGTAGAAGGTGTCAACTTACAGCAAGGGTTCTTGACCGGTTTCAGACCTGTCAGTAGAATCACCGGAGTTGAAGTCCCTCAATGGCATTGGGGGGTATTTGTGCTTGTACTCCTCCATGCCTGGAAAGTCCCTCAATCTTGATAGTGTCCAAGTTGGGGCAGCACTCCTGATCACAGGGTCTGGACAGACAGCATCAACGGGTATGTTTGACAGATGTGACCAGGTGTAATCATGTTGACCCTGTGGACCTTCACTCACACAAACTGCCTCTTGGTTTCCTGAATCCAGATTGTTGATCACAAGATACACAGGACCCCCATACTCAGCAAATGAGTTGTTCAGCTCAGCAAGAACCTTCTTGCCTTCAGTTGTAGCGCTTTCAGATAGCATGATGATTGTTGTGAATCCACTGTTTATCAATAAATATATCTCTGGCCAGACTCAGAGTTCTGGGGGTGCTCATTATATAGACCTCCCTAACCTCCACACATGAACACTCCCTTCACACAGGATGCACTGCCTTGAAAATGAGAGATCCAAGCTTCTAGAGGGAGAAAGGACAAGCTGTGCACCCTTATAGCTCCTCTCAACTTGCTTTCACTGATTAGCATACGGTGAACATCTCCGGCCGTGTCCTTAACATACGTCATGAGAAGAATATTTCCGGTGGGAAGGAAAAATGACGTGCGCACGGCCTCGGCGGCAGTGCACGGACCACCCTTCTGACTATTTGGTGAAGGTCGAGGCCGTGTCTCTACCGGATGAATGGTGCCGTGTGACCAGTCTAAGCTCTCTGTCTGTATCCTCTTTCAGTAGATGCCGCGGTGGAAGATTGAGACAGAAGATGGGAGGTAAGTGGTGATATGACGTTCTCGAAAGAAATTGGTTTCCTCCCTCTCGCCGACTTGCTCCCGTTCGCTTTCCTCCATAGAGTATCAAGTATTGGCTTCTAATGGGACAGACAGCTCTTGTGCCCTCAGCGGGTAGGGACTCAATTGTTAGTATGTATCGTTTGAAACTGCAATGTAGGGTCACCATCACCCATCATTCCTATGCCATTGCAATCTCTAATCATCACTATTCTAAGTCCTTACTTTCAGCTGGTTGGCTGGTCAGAATCACAACTTTTCCCCTGTCGAGTCTTCTGCTTGGGTGTGGTGGAAACTCCTGAAGCTGTGGGGTAGCGGGAGCTGGTCCAGCTTCTGATGGGTCTATGTCCGTCCTCTCCGATGACTGTGTCGCTTCGACTATTGGTAAGGAGGAGAAATCTGATGGCCAGGTAGCTTCCGAACACGACTTAGTGGCCTCTGATATGGAGTTTGTCCTTACAAAAGAAGGCGGTGAGCCCCATGTTTGGTGCATTTTGGCATATGTCAAGAGATGTGCATATCAGTGGATCTAGATATCCTTGCATAATGAGAGCGCGGCTATGACTCTCTCCAAGTTGTCAGGACCAGACGTTGGAAATTGTCTGCGTCTATGAGCTATGGCTATAGGGCCTTGCAGGGAACAGACCTAGTGATGTAGTTTATAGTTTAGTGATGTAGTGGATCGAAGAGACTATAAGTCGATGAGATCAAGTGGCAAAGGATTTGCTAAATGACAAGAAAATACATTCAACAAGACATCTACCAAAAAGGGCTGCTTCTATATACTAAAAAGGGAGCGGAGTGATACCAAAATCTACGGAATAAAGATGGAAAACTATATGGGGTGATAGACCAAAGGAAGACGGTGATAGATGAGGGGCACGGAGATGAAGGAAAAGTATAGCATGGTGAAATAATGACGATTAGGTAGGACAGGAGAACGGAGGATGCCGTAGCGGGAATAGTGAGACGGGGACGGGAACGGGTAGGTGGAGTACAACTTCTGCGTACGACTCTTGAGGCACACGACTATAGGTACCCGTGATCCTGACATTACTCTCCCCCGTCAATAGAGGTCGCCTTGACGTCCTGTAGTCCTGTTGAAAAACAAAACTCCACTGAATTGAGTGTAGCATTTGGCACTTTTTGATTGAAATGATGGTAGTGAGGATAGAGATGATGGTAGCGAGGGTGTGTGATGTGATCGAGAGAACCGCCTAGATTATGACATGTACTTCAGTATCACATACTCTCTGATCTCAAGATCCACTTTCCAGTATCCTCTTCTCTTCTTTGTCCTTTTACCTTGTCACTTTCTTCTGCTAACATCCATTCTACCTTTGCTGAATCCTTTTCTAGAATATCTTTTGGCGAATCACCATGTCTGAAACTGGTAGTCCTGATGTTCCTCGTCCTTGATTTCCTCCTTGTACTCCTGTGAGCAGTCTTCTAAAATCGATAATTTGTGGCTGACGATATTCTTTTCGGTGGTAGAATCAATTACCGGTCACAGGCCCAGATGATTTGCCTCAAGGGTGTTCCGAAGATACTAATCCCTCTCCTGTCCCTTGGAAAGACAAAGTCGAAGTTTTCCGCAGGGTGACAAGGATACCGGTACTGGGCCCTTGTTTAGCGGTGTGCCTATCCAGAATCCCGTTGAACATGGTCCAAGTCCTCGAAGCACGGTCGCATATCATACTCCGTTGGCGCGTGTCACGGCCATCAAACACTTCTCTCTAACTGACCGACGGTCGACGAACCTCGGCTAACTTGACGCTTCTAAGTCGATGTCTCACCCAACCAGGAGGGCGCAGACGTCGAAAGGAGTGTAACTACGGCGTACTTTGACGTAGTTACTCTAACTGGGGTTTTTCTCTGATGGCGATGTATCTTAATTTGTATGTAGCTATCTCTATCAATCTTTCACTACTGACAACAATCAAGGATCGCTGAAGAACTTCAGCAATCTTCTCAGCTAATATTATTTACTCCTCCTAGATCTTCACCCAACCCTCTCGCGCTTAGACATACTTCAACGCACTTCGTCCAACTTCCCCGAGTCCCGGCCGTCCTTCGACTAACCCCGCCTAACATCGCCGCACTTCTGCTCCCTTTGTCCCTACTTAGCCTAACTCCGTCTAACTTTGCCATACTTCGTTGTCCCTATGCTCCAGGCCCCCGTATATCTTATTCTCCCGTTGTACTTCGCCTTAGTTGGTCTCCGATGTCCTGAGTTACGTGTAGAGTAAAGAGGTTAAGACGTGATAGGGGTTTTGATGGTCAAAGGAGGGTCATTGTTGGTGGAATAATTGTTCCCATGTGTACGACGAGTACGATTACGATGATAGTAAGAATCACATCGAAGACTACGGATGGTATCGTATCTATAAACAGTTTCGAGTCGTAGTTATGTGGCATTACTTATCAACACTCCCCCTAATGACACTAACTCCAATAGACAAACTAACATGTTCTAAACCAACTAATAAGATCGTATCGTAACCCAATGGGATCTCTATCGCAGACCTGGACGTACGGGATGAAAAGGCATGAATCACGAGCAAACCAGGAAATCTCGTGTGCACAGTACGAAGTGTTCGGTATGACGCTCTATGCGTCGTACGATTCGAGCGATGTCGAGTTCGAATCATGTAGATCGTGATCCGAATTGACAAGATGAGTGAGGGAGGTGAGAAGGGATATAGAGTGTGGTGTTGAATTGTGTACGAGTCGAACTCAAAGACAGTTCTTTTCGTGTGGTTCTCTTGGTAGGATCGTCGTAAGGAAATCCGAGTCTTGCAATTCGGATCGTACGTATTCGAGTTTCAATTCACCATTGTATATCTTCTCACGAATGTAATGATGTCGTACGTCTATATGCTTCGATCGAGCATGCGTACCAGGATTGTGTGCGAGTCGTATCGCACTTTGATTATCGCAATTAAGTCGTGTTGTGACTTGCTTGAAACCGAGTTCAGTCAATAGACTTCGTATCCATATGGCTTCACGAGCAGCTTCTGCGGTTGCAATATACTCCGCATCCATCGTAGACTGCGCGATCGTAGCTTGTCTTTGAGATTGCCATTGAATCGAACTATTACAGAACTTGAATAGATAGCCAGTCGTAGACTTTCGTGTTTCCGTACAACCAGCGAAATCCGCATCAACCCATCCTTCGAGTTGATATGTGTCAGGACCAGACGTTGAAAATAGTCTGCATCTATGAGCTTTGGCTATAGGGCCTCGTAGGGAACAAACCTAGTGATGTAGTTTATAGTCTAGTGATGTAGTGGATCAAAGAGACTATAAGTCGATGAGATCAAGTGGCAAAAGATTTGCTAAGTGACGAGAAAATACATTCGACAAGACATCTACAAAAAAGGGGTGTTTCTATATACTAAAAAGGGAGCGGAGTGATACCGAATCTATGGAGTAAATGTGGAAAGCGATATGGGGTGTAAGAGCGAAGGAAGACGGAGATAGATGAGGGACACGGAGATGAAGGAAAAGTATAGCATGGTAAAGAAGTAATTGATTAGGTAGGACAGGAGAACGGAGGACGCCGTAGCGGGATTAGTGAGACGGGGACGGGAACGGGCAGACGGAGTACGGGGACGGGTAGGTAAAGTACGACTTCTGCGTACGACTCTTGAGGAACCCGTCTATAGGTACCCGTGATCCTGACAATATGGTTCTCCCCCAAGCTTGAGAACGTAGTCTTTCGTATGTACGAGATACGACATTACGCGTTTCGCAAGTGCGAGATGCGTTTCAGTTGGCTTGGCAGAGAATCGAGCAAGATACCGTGTCGCAAAGCATATGTCAGGTCGTGTCGAACTTGCGATCCACATCAATGATCCAATGATCTTGAGATATGGAGTCGTAGCTTCGAGCGGTGTCGAAGTGGTGTAGAGATCCTCTACATGTTGTGGGAGGGGAGTACCGTAGGCTCGAATCGCAACTGAGTTCTCCGCAGCTGCACATTCGATGTACGCTGGTTGCGATAGGTGAATTGTACGGTTCGTACGATCACGAACTACCTTGAGCCCTAGTATCTGCTTCATCTCCCCCATTTCTGTCATTGTCCACTTCGACTTGAGGAATCGCATGAGTCGTATGATCACGTCTCGAGTTCGCGCTGCGATTATGAGGTCGTCCACATATGCGAGTACGATAATAGGACCATCTGAACCTTTAGATGCCTTGTAGTACATTCCCCAATCTGATTCGAGTCGTACAAATCCGTATGTTGCAAGCGCATTACCGAGTTCGATCCACCAAACTCGTGCAGACTGCTTGAGACCGTACTGTCACGCCTGCGGGTAGACTGCGGTAGCAAAGGACTGCCTTGGGAACTGAGGGGTTTAGTCTCTGGCTCGTGGACCTTGGTGACTGCCTTAGGTACTGAGGGTTTGAGAGGTTGGGTTAGAACCTACTGAGTGACTTATCAAACGAGGGTAAGGGAATTGAAAAGATACATTGCTGAAGAAGAAAACTACAGCACTAGATAGGGTTTAAATACTAAAATCAGCCTTTTCCAAGAGGCTCGTGCAGACCTGCGGAATACGAGCGCTCTGAACCGTTCTGCACTGTCCTGCATGCATTGCCATGCATCCCACCGATTACCACTGATATCCTACGATGCCATATCTGCGTTTACCTACGTCCTACTATGATATCCTATGTGATGCGCCGGAAGTCGGTGACTTTGTCGAAGGTGGTCGATGAGGAACTATGAGGAACTATGCAGAACATAGAAGAGCTGCGAGAACAAGAGACTAAGAGATTATGCCTTACAAGGCATCAGAACAGAGGAAAGAGAAACTAGAGAAGTACTTGGGGCTTATGCCTGTCAGGCATGAGAGCACAGGAAAGATAGTCTTGGGGTTGATGCCTAATAGGCTTGAGAGCAGAGGAAAGATAGACTTGGAGTTTACGCCTGATAGGCTTGAGAGCAGAGGAAGATATGAGAGTGGAGGTTTGAACTTGTGATTATGACAAGTCATTATTTGATAGTGTCATTCATGAAACGTACAGTGACTTGTACAATCGTAAGGTATTACACCCAGGAGCTCGAGCCATACCTTCTGGGTATCTCATGTAGATTTCTTCTTCAAGTACACCATTGAGATAAGCTCCTTCGACATCTGCTTGATGTGTTACGAGATCGTACGATGCAGCGATCGTGAGTACGATTCGTAGACTGACCATACGACTTACCGGTGCGTACGTCTCTTTGTAATCTATACCAGGTTGTTGCGAAAATCCCTTCGCTACGAGTTGAGCTTTGTACTTGAGGATCTTCCCATCTGCATCCTTCTTTATTGCAAAGACCCATCTTGAAACAATAGCTTTATGACCTTGCGGAAGTGTAGTCTCCTTCCATGTATCCTTCGACTTGATATTGTCGAGTTTGCGAGTCATTGCGATCTTCCAATCCGTACTTCGCGGACTACAAAGAGCCTCCCCCACAGTCTGTGGTACGACATCACTTCCTTCGATTGCGAGTATCATTGCAACTTCACTGGCTAGACCATAGTGCGAAGCTTGAACAGGGAACCAGGTCACTGCAGAGAGTGTACCTTGTACGCTCATACGATCTCTAATTCGTTCGCTTGTACGAGTGGGTTGCGGTACGACCCATGCGATTGGTGCAGGCTGTTGAACCGTAGGAGTAGTTGTAGGTTCTTCAGCAGTAGTATCTTCAATAGCTTCAACAGGTGTATTTTCTGCAGTTGTAGCAGGCAATTCCGCAGGGATCGTATTCGAAGGATTCTCTACGATTGGAGTAGATTCGTGTACGGAATCGTGTACGGATTCAGGTGAATCAGGTCGTACTGGTGTCGTAGGTACAGGTGCAGGGAGGGGATCAGGAAGTGTTGTAGTGACTGTAGTTGTATTCGTATTTGGTACGACCGGTACGGGAACACGATCTTGTACTGTGACCGAAGGTCGAATGTATTCCTGTGCGCTTTGCACATCACGACTAACCACGATCGAACCATTCGATTTGTATTGTACGATCCAACCACTCATACCTTCCTCTTGTCCTAAGACTCTTGCTAGTTCTCCTTTGTGGAAGTCAAGCTGCGACTTGCCACGTACTTCGATCGGTATCTGTACGTATACGAGTTCACCAAACATGAAAGCTTTCTCTAGGCCTGGCTTACGACCTGTGAGTGTGAACCACGCATTTGTACCGTCCGCACTCGTATTTGTCTTCATCATCATTACGGATGCGTATCGTACAGCATAATCCCAATACGAATGATCGAGGGAAGCCGAAGATAGCATCGAACTAGCCATCTCTTTGAGAGTACGATTGAAGCGCTCAGCTACACCATTGAGTTCAGGTGTGTAGCGTGGAGAGATCTGGTGTATGATACCTTTCTCTGCATACCATTGTCGTGCTTGCAATCCTGCGTATTCGGTACCTCCATCCGTACGAAGGAATCGTACGGTTCCACCGAGTTGTCGTTTGATCTTTGCGACAAACTCCTTAAGGTAGAATACGACATGCTGTCGGTTCGGTGCGGTCACTACTCGATTGACCTTCGAGTAGTCATCGTACATCGTAATGATGTATGTCGCACCTTGCGCCGAAGGTCGTAGGGGTCCAGAGATATCTGAATGTATGATTTCGCAATTACGAGTTCCATGCGGACTGACATCCTTCTTTGGAAGTCGAGTGTTCTTCTGTTCTTGACAAACCGCGCAGCTATCCGTACGCCACGAGTCTGCCTTCAACTCATCCGCACTGTATCGTAGCTCCCCCGCTTGTGCGAGCTCGATAATACGATTACGACCTATATGACCAAGTCGATTGTGTTCGGTTTGTAGTGGTCCAATACAAGTTGTCGAACTGATCGTACCCGTAGTCTTGGGTACGAGCTCCCCCATTTTTACATATGGGAGGACACCATGTTCTCGTATCGTAACAATCTCCTTTCCTTTACAAATTTCGCCCTTTACGAAGTCTACGTCCCACCCACGAGCTTTGAGCGTACCTGCGGATAGGATATTCTGTCGTGCGACGTTCGTAAGGTATACGTCTGTGATCCGTACGGTTTGACCAGAGGGGAGTCGTAGTAGAATGTCTCCCTTTTCATATACATGAACCTTGGTCGTAGTATCCGCAAGACCGAACGTGATAGCCGTGTCGAGTCGTACGATGTTCGAGAGAATCGTACGATCAGGTGTGAGATGGTGGGTAGCTCCACTGTCAAGGAGGAATTCGGGTACGAGCTTCGAGCCTACGTACTGTACGGTTGGCTCGGTAAGACTGATAGCAGCAGCCCAGAATGGATCAATCGTAGGGTTCGAAGAGCCTTCGTTTGTTGTAGTCGTGGTCGATTGTGTTGTATTGACTTGTGGCTTCGACCCCTTCGATTTTCCCTTCGATCCCTTCAATTTTCCCTTCTGCTCATCCCTAATCCTCTTCCTACATTCCTTTTTAAGATGTCCCTTCTTATGACAATAGTGACACTCTGCTGTCTTAACCCAATCCGTATTCGCATGCGTATCCGTATGCGAATGCGCATGATCCGCACTTGTATTATTGATCTGAGCAGACATTGTAGGAGTAATGAGTCGTGCACGATCTGCGACTTCGACTTGATACAAGCGTCGAAGTTCGGCCCACGTCTTCGAACTCGTAGGGAGATTAATGTAGAGAGATTGCATGACTTTGAAGTCGCTTCGAGGAAGCGAATTGAGGAACCAGAGCGCACGAGTATCAGCTGAGAACTTGCATCCTGACTCTTCAGCTTCAAGCCAGAGTAGGTTAAATTTCTGTAGGTGTTGTGTCATCTCCGTATCCGTAGGGTTTGACTTGAGCATAAGCATTCGTAGCTTGCGTTCGACATCCGTACGATGTTCGGGTGTCTGTAGTTGCATATCTGTTGCAAGGAATGTCCACATTTCGTATGCGGTTCAAAGAGATCGTAGATCAATGAGCAAACCGCGTTCAACTTTGCTCATGATCGCACCTTGAGCTTGAAGTTCGCGTTTACACCACGATTCCCAGCGCTCTTCATCATCTGAGTCGAGTGAGGTGTGGGTGATAGTCTCCTCAGCTGTAGGTACGACTGAGCCTGCTCGAACCGTACGAGCAATCGTAGGTGGACGGTACGGTTCGACATCCGTACCTTCAATTATCCCAAGACATCCATGGATAAGGAGATAGTTTTCTATGGCAAGTTTCCAATCGAAGTAGTTGCTTTGACTCGATAGTACGGGAACGGATTCAAGACCAATCGTAGTCGAACGATTGTGAGACATCGTGCTTTGTATTTCAGCTTATGAATCGTATTACAATAATGGACTCTCGTAGAGGACTTATCGTACACAAGACGTACACCAGAGGCCTCTACTGTGTACGCCACCAGCACGGACTGGATTTTATACGTCTACGAGGCGACGTCTACGTCACAACCGAAGCTGGACTGTCCTTATTCTACTACACCAGTACGGTGCTTCGTGTACGGTTCGTCGTACGGTTCCCGATGTCTCGTCGGGTCGGTTCGTATGCACGTTCGAGTGCGTACGATCGGTGTGATATCTTCACTATATCCAGAGGTACTGAGACTTTTAATCTGTTTGAATGTGTACGACGAGTACGATTACAATGATAGTAAGAATCACATCGAAGACTACGGATGGAATCGTATCTATAAACAGTTTCGAGTCGTAGTTATGTGGCATTACTTATCAACAATAATCGAGGTGTCACGACGTAGTTCGTGACAGTGCGATCCGCAGGCAAGGGTGTTTCTGATTCGGTGCCCCCTCGTTACATTGAGGATGGTGAGGTTGTGGTTCCTAAAGAGGGGGGTCATCAGAATGCGTATCGTGATGTCGAAATTGTTCCATTTAAGATCGAAAGTCCAACCGCCCAGGTAAAGTTTATCTCCATCCCCCTTCCGAAAACGCTAATTGGGGGGTAGGGATTTCTGAAGTACCTAAAATTGTGGTCCAATTTGAAAGCCGCGTCAACCAAGGAAAAGGTCAAACCGATTATAGACCTTTTGAAAATAAAAGGCGGGATTATTGGTCGTTTGTCTATACCCTGCTCAAATTGTTCGGAGATGTTGAAAGAGAGAAAGGGAAGGTGGTCCTCGAAGATGAATAAGTGGCATTGCCTGGTCCCAAGTGTAAGGTTTTTGGGGTCACCTAAAGTGTGGATTGGAGGACAGTAAGCCCATCACACTTTTTCAGTGAGGGGTAATTGCTGACCGGGAAGTTGCTTTTGGTGTCTCATTGAAAGGGGTACCTGCAATCTATGCGTGGATTCCCGGGTCGGACCTAGGTCCCAGTTGGAACTCTCGATGTGTCACGACTCTACCAAGTCGTGCCCCAAATCACCTGATTCAGGGACTGTCACCTGAGTGTCATCTGACTATCATCTGAGTCAGGGATTTTCACCTGACTCTCACCTGATCCACCATATTATCACCTGATTCTCGTATGATTCTCACCTGACTATCACCAGTGTCAGCTAATACACCAATTATCAGGTGATTATCACACGATAATGCATGATATCAGGTGATTATCACACGATAATGCATGATATCAGGTGATTCGCGTACAATTGTCATCTGATTATCAGGTGGCTCCATTATACGAGAATCGTACTGATTATTGGGTGAGGGGGTTTTCGAAAAGTATATAAATTGCGTGTATCTATTTTGTAGTTTCTTTTTCTCAAGGATCAAAATATTATTTGCCACTCACAAAAGACCTCTTCTTGACATACTACTTACATCTGACATATCGCTCATCATCATTACCCCTGTCCACACCATCACACAAACCGTCACCGTCATCTCGACCTGCCCAGATCCTTTGCAAGTCACTTTAGCCGTCCGACCACATCACAAGACCACGGACAACATACTAACCGTCGTTGTCCAAGCTAATTAAACAGTTGCAGTCCACCTGTCTTTGATCCATTGAGGTCTGTCAAGGACAGGACCGTGACACAATGGCCCAGTTCTCTTCCCTATCTCCCCCCCTTGATTTGGCTTTAGCCCACTTGGCCGAGGCGGGGAGTCATTTGCAGGGGCATCCCAATCACAATTTTGAACATGTGGATACAGCGTATGCTGAAGTGGAGAAGGTCGCCCTGGTAGGCTGTTCTATCTTCAGCAAGTGCTTTCCGCTAACGGAATAGGCTGTTGACGGTGCAAAAATACAGGGTGAAGATGAACGAGTGCCCGGTTGTCCTTTCGGAAAGTGGTCATCGTATCGCTTGGACGATAGTATCGCTGTTGGTTCCTGGCAATTTGAACCTCCTTGGACTGCAGTGAAGAGGACCGTTGAGCCTTTGCCCGCTGGGACTTTGTCTACGCCCAGGGCAAAAAAGGCTAAGACTAGGAAGGGAAAGGGGCGTGAGGATTTGCCTCAGATGGATGACGACGGGCTGGTACGATGGAACTCCTCCAAATAGCCTGCTAGAGCGGTGAAGCGTGTGTATAATGAAATCTATTTTGGAGAAACAAATTTGTAGAGTATCAAGAAAGATTTTGTGAAACATGAAATCCCTTTTCTGTCTTGCCAAAGTATGTTATGTTCTTGGTGTGTTCGGAAACCTAACAGTGTTCCAAAAAACGTGACCGTTCGGTCAGTTTTCTTTGCCTTTTAGCCGGCAAAATGGGAACGAAATCCTTGTTCACATTTTCGGCAACGGCTCTGCGCATTTCGCAGATCTTCAAGTATTCCTTAACTTTAGGATTACCACTAATTGAATCCATGGGTTGCCAAGTAGCTTCTTCAATTGGGTAGCCAACCCATTTGATTTTCAGTTGAACCTCCTTCTTTCCTTTTCCGGAGACCCTTATTGTTCTTTTTGCAAGAACCCTATCGATTTCGTAAGTGTCTTTTTCTGAATCTTGCGGTTCTTCTCGTAACGCGACCATTGCTGGCTGCGGATTTTGAATATCCCCTTGAACCTTTGATAATAGCTTAACATTAAAAACTGAATGGATCCCATTCACAATCATATGTGGGGGTAAATCAACTTTGTAAGCATTGTCATTGATTTTCTTTAGGACCTTGAAGGGACCGATGTATTTGTTGTCCAATTTCTTCATCGGCCTTAGGGTTCTGAGATTCCTGCTGTCTATCCAAACCTTTTCCCCCTTTACGAAACTGGTTGTCCTTCTTCCCTTGTCGTACTGATGTTTATACGATTTCTGAGCTTTTCGAAGGTTTTCCTTCAGCCTTTCCTGTAATCTTCCTAGAGCACTAACCCGTGCGATTGCGGGTGGAGACGGTACGTCAGTGGCCTTGTCAAAAATGGGTTGCATCATGTCGGTTCGGTATTCCCTGCCTGAGTAAGCAGAAAGTGGGGACATCTGGATTGAGCTATGGTAGTTCGTGTTGTAGCAGAGTTCTGCAAAATGTAAAAGCAAACTCCAATTTTCCTGTTCCATATTGACATATACGTGAAGGTATTGCTCGAGCCATTGATTGATTCTCTCTGTTTCGCCGTCGGTTTGGGGGTGATAGGCGGTTGAATACCTCAAATCTGTTCCCAATAATGTAGTTAAGGTTTTCCAAAACCTAGAAACAAATATGCTACCTCGGTCCGAGACGATCAAATCAGGGATTCCGAATCTAGTATAGATCTTTTCAACAAACAGTTCTGCGAAATCTTCTGGCAATAATGTGGTAACTGTAGGTATAAAGACTGCCATCTTTGTTAGGCAATCTACTACTACCAAGATGGCGTTGAAATCCTTGGAGCGTGGGAGGGGACCGATAAAGTCGCAAGTGATTTCCGACCAGGGGGCTCCGGGAACGTCGAGTGGGATGAGTAACCCGGCTGGGGCTTGTCGTCTTGCTTTTGTACGTTGACACACTTCGCATTCCTGACAATATTTCCGAATATCCTCCTTCATTCCCGGCCACCACCAATAGCGAATGATCCGCTTGTATGTCAGCCTCCGACCTGTGTGACCGGCATGCTTAGAGCCATGCTCGTTCTGTAATATTTCTTCTCGATCCTCTTCCTCATCAACACAACTAGTTTTCTTAGGCTCCCGGTCCATGGCAGATAGCAATTGCTCACTGGAGAGGAGTTGTTGGTTGTTGAATGGGTTCAGTTCGGAAGACAGAGATGACTGTTTACTATCCGATGGTCTGTAGTCCGCTTGGCAGGACAAAGCGTCTGGTTTCGTTGACTGCTTTCCGGGTCTGTAATGGATAGTGAAGTTAAACTCTGAGAGGAATTCGTACCACCTTGCTTGTCGTCAAGTAAGTTGTTTGGTGGTTAAGAAAACCTGTAAGCTTTGATGATCTGTGTAAACTATGACCGGTGTTTGGGTTCCTTCTAGGTATTGTCGCCATTCTTTAAAAGCATACACAATTGCTAAGAGCTCTTTTTCTGAGACCGGGTAGTTGAGTGCTGCTGGAATCATGCTCCTTGAAGCAAAAGCGACGGGGCGTAGTACATCATTCTCTCTCTGTGAAAGAATAGCTCCAAGTGCGTAGTTGGAAGCATCGGTCTCCACTACGCAGGGCAAATCGGGGTCAAAATGACGTAAGACGGGCCCTGATTCAACTTTCTTTTTGAGTTCTCGGAAAGCTTCTTCGCATGGTTCATCCCAGGAGAATACTATCCCCGCTCGTGTAAGGTCATGAAGAGGCTTGGCAATATGTGCAAAGTTTCTGATAAACCGCCGGTAGAAATTGACGAAGCCTAGAAAGGATTGAACGTCCTTGACCGATTTTGGAGTTGGCCATTCCGCCACTGTTACCTCCTTTTTGGGTTCCATCTCGACTCCTCCAGGTTTGATCACGTATCCGAGAAATTCGACACGGTCAACATGAAACTCGCATTTATCATGTTTAGCATAGAGCTTATGCTGACGGAGTCGTTCAAGGACTTTTGTGACGTCCTTGATGTGAGTCCTGACATCCGGGGAGTAGATCAAGATGTCATCTAAGTAGATGATCACCGAGCAATCTAGCATGTTGCGAAATGTATGGTTCATTAGGTGTTGGAAAGAGGCTGGCGCATTTGTGAGTCCAAACGGCATAACCCTATATTCAAATAGGCCAAACCGCGTTCTAAATGCTGTTTTCCATTCATCTCCTTCTGCTATTCGCAGTAGGTTACAGGCCCCTCGAAGATCAATTTTGGAGTAGATCTTTGCATTCTTTAGTTGGTCCAAAAGGTCGCCGATTAGGGGCAATGGGTAGCGGTTCTTGACGGTAATTTCATTTAGTTGACGGTAGTCGACACACAAACGGAGGCTCCCGTCTTTCTTTTTAACAAAAAGAATAGGCGCACCTGCCGGGCTCTCGGATGGCGTAATGAACCCTTTGGAAAGGTTCTCCTCTAGATATTTCCGGAGAGCGTCTTGTTCAATTGCTCACAGGGAGTAAATGGGTCCGAAAGTGGGTGTTTTCCCTTCCATGATGGGAATACGATGATCGAATGGTCCATGTTCAGGAAGTTTATCAGCATCTCCTTTTGAGAATACGTCAAGAAACTTCCAGTATTCGGGTGGTACAATGTCTGTTGGGTTTGTGCTGATTTCTGGTACAGCCCTTGCGTATAGCGCACCCTTTATGTCCTCTGGACCGTTATGTTGATTAAACAATTTGGGACTGATGATGTTTAATTGCTGAATGCCGTTATCTAATGTGGACGGCCGAGGTAACAAAACTCGGGAAGTCCAATTGATAATCGGGTTCATTTTATTCAAGAAGGTCATGCCTAGTACGATTGGTGCTGGGTGGATCTTCGTGACCATGAAGGTAGCCTCATAGGGTTTGAAACCTTCGCCTAGTAGTACCCGAAAATGTATCTCCTTCGTCAGAAGGCAAGTAGTGCCGTCTGGTAATTGGAGTTGTTCCGGTATAGCTTTTTTAATAGGTTTGAATCCGAATTTGGCCACGAATCCTTCGTCTACGAAGTCCACTGTAGCACCGCTGTCTACCATGGCCCGCGTTGGGACTTGCTTATTACTGAGCACGACAATGGGAATAGTGATGAGCTTGTGTGGGTCTTTGGTTACTGGAGAGCCCATATCGGAATTGGGGAAGGATAAAACGGGTTCCACTGTCATGGAGTTGAAACTGACTCGGTGGGTCGTCGTTTCTTGTGAACTCTGATTCGCTTCTGTTGTGTCCTTGTCACGAACTACGCCGTGACACCTCAATTATCCCACCAGCAACAACCCTCCTTTGACCATCAAAACCCCTATCACGCCTTAACCTCCTCACTCTACACGTAACTCAGGACATCTGAGACCAACTACGGCAAAGTACAGTGTGAGAATAAGGTATACCGGGGTCTGGAGCATAAGGGAGCAGAAGTACGGCGAAGTTAGACGGAGTTAGGCTAAGTAGGGACAATGGGAGCAGAAGTACGGCGAAGTTAGACGGAGTTAGGCTAAGTAGGGACAATGGGAGCAGAGGTACGGTGAAGTTAGACGGAGTTAGGCTAAGTAGGGACAATGGGAGCAGAAGTACGGTTGTTACGGGGTAACAACGAATCGAGAGGACTCTATCGAGTTCGACGGATTAGGACAGAGAAAAGCGGGAGTTGGAGGCAGTGCTGCAGTAGGTAGGGACGGGTTTTCCCCTTTCGAGATTTTCCCCACTGGGTTTGCTCAAAGCGGTTTTTCACCTGTCCGAGTATGTACGTAGACGCTTGCAGCAGGAAGAGGACAAGGACGAGGATATCCGTAGACAGTATATAGTACAATCAGCAAAGTACCAACTTTGCTGATTCTTCAATATCATTCTTTGGCTACATCGATTGCAGAGGAGACACGATCCATTAGCACCAGAGCCCCTAGACTTCCACGAGACATCCATCGAGTTCGACCCAACCTGCGACCTAGCCATCGTGTTTCCAGTACCGTTACAAGTTGAAGAATCAGCCTCACGCACCTTGGGTCGAATTGGAGAGTACTGCATGCTCACCAGAGGGAAAGCGAGGAAAATGATACCAGAAAGAGAGGAGTTGGAACAAGGGCTGGTCCCAGAGGAAGAAATACCAACAAGTTCTTCGAGAAGTACCATTTCACATGACCTCACTTCTACCACCACTACCCCAGATCCGCTGAATGAATTATCGCAGCAGTTGTCACAATTATTAGCCATTATGACAATACAACAAAAGGAACAAAATGCATTAAGGGAAGAACTGGCTATGATCAAAGCTGACCGACAGAACCAACAGCTACTCACCTCGAAAGGGGCAAGTTCGATCGAAATTGAAGACAACAAGCCGTGTTTGGAGCCAAAACTTACCAACAACGAACGAACAGGAAGAACCAGGTGTGCGGATCCACCTACCTTCAGTGGAGAACAAGGGGAATTGGACAACTTCCTTGCAGCATGCCACATGAACTTCGAATTCAAAGGGGCAGAGTACGCCACCGATCGCAGAAAGATCCTGTTCATGTACGGGTATCTTCGAGGCACCCCTCA